GTCAGGGAGTCCCACCTCCCACGCTGTTGACACAGCCCCGCTTTATCTTGTGTGGAAATCACATTTTGGATTCCCAGCCTCATTTCCATGTCTCTGATGACTGAACCTGTCTCTGAAGTGAGTTCAACTGGGCCGAGATTAAAAACCAGATCAGTTCAAAGAGCACTTGAATCTAGACACCTACTCTGCACTGTGGCCAGTGCAGCAACACCCACCCCACCCCAGTCTTTTTAGTTTCTTTTTTTTTTTTTAGTGTTTTAAGAAGCCATAATTAGCTTGATAAGGATTGATACAGTTTTGTCTTTGAAATATTCCAAGACATTGTATTCACATAGATTCTGAGAAACTACCGTATAACACTGGCTGTTCTACATACTCTAGATATTGTAGCAAACAAGAAGAAAATTTGGAGGAAGGTAAAGATATTAAGCAAATAAATATATTGAAAATCCATTTATTTATTTATTTTTAGTTCCAGGGATTGAACCCTGGAACACATCTCCAGCTATTTTAATTCTTTTTAATTTTTGACACAAAGTCTCACTGAGTTGCTTAGAGCCTTGCTAAGTTGCTGCGACTGGCTTTGAACTTGTGATCCTCCTGCCTCAGTCTTGGGGGGCCACTGGGATTTACAGGCATGTGCCACCGCACCTGGCAAAAATCCAAATACATATTTTTTTTCAAATATTTTTAGTTGTAGATGGACACAGTAACTTACTTACTTACTTACTTAATTTACTTATTTACTTGTTTTTATTTATTTGGTGCTGAGGTTGGAACCCAGTGCCTTACACATGCTAGGCAAGTGCTCTGCCACTGAACCACAGCCCCCAAATACTTTTTAATTTTTTTGGTACTGGAATTGAACTCAGGGACACTTGACCCCTGAGCCACATCCCCAGCCCTTTATTGTATTTTATTTATAGATAGGGTCTCACTGAGTTTCTTAGAGCCTCACTTTTGCTGAGGCTGGCTTTGAACTCACGATCCTCCTGCCTCAGCCTCCTGAGCTGCTGAGATTACAGGTGTGCACCGCCGCGCCTGGCTCCAAATACTTTTAAAAATATTTTTTTAGTTGTGGATGGACATTTCTTTTATTCTTTTATTTATATATGGTGCTGAGAATTTAACTCAGTGCCTCACATATGTGAACCAAGCGCTCTATCAGTGAGCCCTCAAATAAACTTTTCCTCTTCTACAGTTGTTCTGGTCGGGTCTTTCAGTCACAGCTGTGAAAAATCTGACTAAAACAATTAGTAAATTAAAGGTGTATGTTGTCAACTCGAGAGCAACCACAAAATTATTTTATGAGATATAAAGAATCTTACCTTTAATTTCTGCTATAGTAAATATCAGTAGGATCTACCCTACTCTTTACATTCCTATGTAAAAGTTAAAAGGGATCCTGTGACCAAAATGGTCTACAGCTGTTGACGCCATTGTGAAGCTCCTGGTAAAGAATTTGTGTTTTATTCCAAGTGTGATTAAAAGCCTTTTAAGAGTTTGAAGCAAGGGGAGGAGATAACCAGACTTTTTTTTTCTTATACACATGACAATAGTGGAGTGCATTACATTCATAAATTATCCATTCACAGCACAGTTTTTCATAACTCTGTATATAAAGTATGTTCACACCAAATTATGCCATTATACATGAGCTCTCTTATTTTTTTTTGCATTACAATTCTTAATACACCTTCATACCACAATTTATCATCTCTCTGTTTGTATATAAGGTATGTTGGCCCCAAATTCACATGTATTTTGTATAATGATGACCGTCTCCAGACTGACTTTTATAAACACATGTGAGGAATGGATTACAAGGAGCAAGAACTCGGGCAGAGGACAGTCATAGGTTGCCACTCTCATCCAGTTCCCATGCTGGAGGCTTGGACCCAAGAGGTGGCGATGGAGATGGAGATCTATGGATGGATTAGAATGATTTTTGGGTGTTGAATAGATTGTATTTATGGATGACCTTGGAATGAGGGTAAAGGATTCATCAAAGAGAACACCTAAATTTTTAATCAACTTCATTGATTACATTTCATACTTTTAAAGTGTACAGTGAGGTGAGTATAGAAAGATAGGTTTGGTGAAACTACCACCATAATACAGAAATATAAAATGTTTTTATCAATCCTAAACAATTTTTGCATCCCTTTAATAACTTGTAGATTTTTTTCTCCTGATGGCAACTGATAAAATAATGGTACAAATCTCTAAGGTAATAAAGAGGAATATATTTAGAAACACGAATAGGTGGGAATTAAGATTTCTGGCACTAGTTTCACAGACTGTTTCCAATGGGTATGTTTCATATCCTCCAAGACGACTTCCCTATCCGGTTGCCCTTGCTCCTGTCCAGCTGGTGGAGAGCCCACCTCTGTCCTGAGGTGCCCCACTGTGGTTCCCTCTGTGGCTCACTCACATGCTCCTGCAGTATAATGGCACTGAAATTCCCCAATCCAGTGAGCTCTTAAGAACCATGACCGCATATTCCTTCACGGGGTCTAGCACTTAACCAGCCTGCAATAAATGCTTGATGAATAAATGAATGTGAATGATTCTCACTTGGCTGAAATTTCCCATGATTGATGACATTTTCCATAACTGACTAGCATACAGAAAAACCTACATGCCCACCAGCCGCATGTGAGCTATTGTTTCGTTGGTTGACTGTTAGACATTTTTCTGGATGAAGACTCTGGCTCAGATAGTATCCAGAAGCTGTCTTGCTGGGATGGAAATGCGCTGTAGGATTATACCGATGATAACTGATCCACAGAGATTCCAACTTCTTGATCTCCTAAGGCGAATACAAGACCACCTTCAAAATAGGCTCCACCCATATTTTCTGTGACTTGCTTAATGTCTTGCAGAGATATCTCCTTTGGGCAGAACAGTGATTAAGGTTTAGAGTCTGTCCCACATTATTTAAATTGAAATGTGTGATAAAGTGCACATTGCAACTTTTCTATGTATTTATCCATGTCACTACCACCCAAAGGAAGATACGGAAACATTTCCCGGATGTCAGAATCCAAGAGTGAATTAAGAATGGAGGAAAACCAAGTAGAGACTGGAGTAATAAAAAGAGACTGAAATATGACAGAGAATGAGAGCTCAAATCATGTTTTCTTTGCCATCCATTGTATAAGGAAAGCAATTTAAAGGCCATCTTGCATGCTTGAGAAGCAATATGATATTCAAAGGCTTAATTAAAGATGTACATTGGTAAGCCCTAGGGCAGCCATTAAAAATGCTTTAAAGGGGTATAAAAATTTAGGTGATATGTAATTACCTATGTAGAAATCACCGCATTTCTCATGCTTTTTCATGGGGATATATTCAAAAAGGAAAATAGAGTTCCAACTGTCCTTTCTGTAGTCTTTCATCTCTACTTTCATTTGCTGAACAATTAGTTTCATCGGAGAGAGAGAATGGGAAAAAAATTCTGCACAGATTCAGCTGAATAATTGAAATGTCTACATTAGCGGGGTTCTGAGATGAAAAGGTGGTATTAGGTAAGAAAGGGTGATGTTCTGCATTTCCCATGCTGGTTAGCCACATGACAGAGGGTTGGGGATGGTTTCCCAGGGTGGAAAGACCATGTCACCTTCTTGGAGCATCTGATGGATTCACTCACTGGTTGGATAATGTCAACACTCCGAGAAGGAAAAACAAGAGATATGAAAATAAATGTCTGCCTGGGTTTCGTGTAAATTCAGATTGATTGGAATAGTTCTAAAGGCATAAGCCATTTCTCCAGGGCAATACTGTGTAAGAAATGGACATGCACCGCCGAACTAAGGTTCTTCCCAAAATGACAGAATCTCGCATTTATGAGCCGCTTTGATTTTTCCCTGGTTTTCCATACTTTGTCTCATGTAAGATCCTCTCGGGTGCCATGTCCAGCACACGTAAATGCTGGATTTCCACCATGGATGAAAGCTGAGACTGATTGAGAAGGATATTGTTGTCATCAATGACCACGGATGGACCCCCGAGAACATGTCCTGTGTCACAAGAACAGAGTGTGTCTTTAACCCACCAGTGTCAAGAGGCTGCAGCTGATGGATGATGGGAAGAGGAGGCATGTTCTTTTCCATGTCCCTCCCAGGAGTCCTAGACACATTTTTTCGTTGTGGTGGTTTGTTTTTTTTTTTTTTTTTAGATATAGAGTGTTCAGAACTTTTTTTAAAAATCTGGAGCCAAGAATTTTGTCTTTTCAGCTGATGCTTTTTCTTGATGTCACCTGTATCCCCTTAAGCTGGGATTGTAGGGAAGAGTGATTCACGTGGAGGCTTTCTTTGTGTGGCCAGGGAGAGAAGATTGTACAAAGCAGGAGAATTATTGGTAGAAAAAAGAGCAAAGTTTAAGTAAACCCTTCTACCGTGAGACTAAATCAGGCGTTGGGTAGGGAAGGGGATTACCCAAGGGCATTGCAGAATTGGGGACAGATATATGTTGGTGATTTTAAAGGAGAAAATAGTTTAATCCTTATCGGTGTCCATCCAGCAATTCAGTTTAGGCACTACCCTAATTGTCTGCTTCAGGTGCTTTTGAGCCTGAATTTGGTTTAAGACCAAATTATGATTGATTCCTAACTCAGTGCTGTAACCTAATAATCCATTAAACCCCTCTAGGACCTAAGTGCTCTCTCTTTAAAAGGGAGACCTGCTAGAAACTCAGCACAGAGAGGTTAAACAACCTACCCGAGATCACACAGTCATTGAATGCAGTGTTTACATTTGAACCAGGGCTGGGAATTCTAGAGCCCTAATGATTAGCCTCAATGGCTTGATTGGCCCCAAGGTGAAGTCCCAGGGTCTATGCTTTTGATAGAAAGCCAATATGTCCCAAGTTGCCTGAGATATTTCTGCTTATGTCTGGAATAATGTGGATTATTATTGTTATTTCGTGGGTGCCGAGGTTGAAACCAGGGCCACATTCTCTACCCCTGAGCTCCTCTCCTAGCCCCTACAGTAATTATTAGCAGTGACTTTTCACTTCTCGAATTGCCCTAACCCTCATTTGGATGTTGAGTTCTGAGGTTTCCTGTCCTTAGTTATTCTTTATCCTCATCTGTCACTGGGTTTCGTATCTTCATACGTTACCACCTTGCCAGGCCCTCTGCTTCTGTGGAGCACCTTCCAAGGCCAGATGGCTGCAGATGCCATCGACACCCCACTGCCACCACGGTGCCCTGCATTCATCCTGGGTTCCTTTGCCCACCCTGCACTGTCTCTAGTCCCACGGCTCACATGGTGGTCCTTGCTCTGGATGGTCTCAGTCCCCCCTTTGGATGTGATATACTGGCATTTGCTCCTCAGCTCTGGGCACTCAACCTTTCCTGATTCTAGAAAATTCTCGTTTGACTTTGTGACCTTGTTTCCCCTCGGGAGAAGCGGATGATCACAAATCGTGACAGACATTGACACCCTGGGTATGCCTCTCTCGAAATAGGCTGTTCTGCTAGGAGGAAGGAGAATATTGACTGCAGCGGCGATGTCCCTGATCCGAAAACCACCATCCAAAACGTTCTGAGCACAAACGTGACCCCTTGACAAGCAGAACATTCTAGACCATGAATCTTTGTTTCAGGCACAAAAGTTTTAAAACACGATACAAAATCACCTTTGGGCTATGTGTATGAGAACCCAAAATGAATCGCATGCTTAGACTTGGATCTTATTCCCCAAATAGCTCATTACGTTAATGCAAATGTTCCAAAATAAGAAAAGAAAAATCAAAATCTGAAACCCTCTTGTCCTCAAGCATTTTGGATGAGGGATACTCCACCTGTATTCACATGCTCTTTGTTAAAATTCTCGTTTGTTTAAAAATTATTCTTTCACACAGTTTTTTTTTTCCATGTAAAGGTGTATCTCTAAATAGGTCACGGAAGACTGTCCTCTGATGTTACTAACTAAACAGAAGAACCTGAGATTGGGACCGTGAACCCGTAATTTTACCTGTTCATGGGGTAAAAATCCCTCCTCTTTGCTCACAGGCGGTACCTGTCCTGTCTGTCTGGACCCAGCTGCCACACAGCCATGGCCTGTCCGATGCCCTGCCTCCCTTCTGCCCCTGCCTCCCTTCTCTGAGTGGCAGTTCCACACCTGCACAGGCCCGGGACCTGAGGTCATGCTGCAGGGTGAAATCAGCTTCTGTGTGGAGAGTCCTCAGAAAACCTGGAACAGAGTCGCCATTTGACCCAGCTAGCCCACTCCTTGGTTTATACCCAAAGGACTTTAAATCAGCATACTACAGTGACACAGCCACATCAATGTTGACAGCAGCTCAATTCACAATAGCTAAGCTATGGAACCAACCTAGGTGCCCTTCAACAGATGAATGGATAAAGAAAATGTGGTCTATATACACAGTGGAGTATTACTCAGCAAAAAAGAGAATAAAATGGCATTTGCAGGTAAATGGATGGAGTTGGAGAATATCATGCTAAGTGAAATAAGCCAATCCCCCAAAACCAAAGCCTGAGTATTCTTTCTGATAAGTGGAGGGGGATGGGAATAGGAAAGACAGTGGAATGAATAGGAAAGAACTTTCCCATGTTCATATATGAACACACAACCAGGGAAACTCCACATCATGTCCAACCACAAGAATGGGATCCTAATTAGAATAAGTTTTACTCCATGAATGTAAAATATGTCAAAATACACCCTACTGTCATGTGTATCTGGAAACATGAAAATTAGAAAAAAAAAATCAGCTTCAGATCTTGAAATCTTGCATCTTCTGCTTCTTTGTTAGTCCAAAGACTCCACTTTAAAGTGCTATGATACGATTGTGGTGATCTTTTCGTACCCAGCAAGTGCCAGGGCACAGAATGAACACCTACACTGGACTCTACAGACCCAAGATGGCGTCCCCCACCATCTAATGACCTCCTCCTTTACCCTGTGATGTAAATAACAAGGTTTTCACTATCACCAGGCAAACGCCCTGCTCAAGGTCACAGAGCTTTCCGACGGCCAGTCCACGGTCCCAAATCCAATATTCTGAAAAAAATCCTTCCACATTTCTCTTCTTTACGACATAAAAACCAAAATAGCCAAATAAAAAAGGTTGGGAAGTACAGAGTGTGGAAGAGAAGATTCTTTTGGACAGCTTGTTCAAAACGCAGGCCTGGCATTGCATTTAAATGAATGCTCCGACCTTCATTTATATTCCAGCAACTCAACGTGCAGAAGTGGAGCAGGAGCAGAGTGTGGCCATGCTCCAGCTGTGTGCATCTAATGCATCCCGACAGCTTTAAAGACACACACACAAAGGATTGGGCAAAGGGAAATGTCCTCTGACATTTACTTGGTAGTAAACAGAAGCATCCAACTTCCTCAGCCTCATTTGCTTTATTACTAAGAGCGTACTCTTCCCTCTGTCTTAACCCAGTTAAAAAAATTAAATTACCGAACACTGGGGAGAAGAAGGGAACAGGAGGTTTTAGCAAGAAGTGTTTTACAGCAATCAGCTTGTCTGATGGAAAAACCTAGAAGGGAGAAAAGTGAAGAGGAAAAACCGATATGAAAAGTCGGACTCTTATACCCAAAGGTAATGGAGTTTTAAGTCACAGAATTAATTGCCTCTGTGTCACAACCTCCGTATTCAGCGAGGATGCCCTCCTCACCTGGTGTCTTAAACTTTTTTTTTTTTCCATTTCTGACTTAATAAGGGATGGCTGATTTTCATAAAAAGAAACTCTCAAGCTTGCTAAAGTAAAGAGGAAGGTAGTTTAAGGATACAACAGGCGATGGAAAATTGTTTTTTAAGAATTGGAACTTTAGAACCTAGCATGGTGGCACACACCTGTAACCCCAGTGATGTGAGAGGCTGAGGCAGGAGGATCGAAAGTCTGAGGCCAGCCTCGGCAATTTAGCAAGACCCTTTTTCAAAAAAAAAAAAAAAAAAAAACTAAAAGGGCTGGGGATGTGGCTCAGTGATCAAGGATCCAGTCCCTAGCACTAAAAAAAGAAACAATAAAAATAAACTTTGGAATAAAACCAACCCAAATTTGAATCTGATCACTGTGCCTCACTCACCATGAGACTTGTAAATGACTTAAGCTCTCCAAACCTCAGTTTTGTCATCTGCAAAATGGAAATGAGAGCAGTTCTTAGTTTAGAGGGTTGTTTGAGAATGAAATGGAACATCGTATGCACAGTGCCTTGGTTATGAGCTCAATAAAAGCATCATCCATGGTTTAATGGATCCTGAAATCGGATGGTGAGACTTCGTGGAGACTGAAGCTGAAAGGTTGATAGGAAGGGAAGATACTCTCTCTGGAGCCACCCATTCCAGCTCTGTGTATTCTTTATGGTGTTTCCCCCATATCCTCCTTTGATCTTTAATCTCAGGTGACTTCCTTAGTTTCCTTATTCTGTCCCTTGACTGACACGGCCCAGCCCTCAATCTACCTGACTTTGTATTCTGGTGCCCAATCCATGGGCTATAAATTCTGAATACCTTACTTTAACCCGAGTTCTGACTCCTGGCTGGAGAGCCGGGGGTTCACACGCTGGGTCAATTTTTCACTCCTCATGATAGAATCCTCTTATGTGGACTCCCCAGGTCAGTTAAGTGCTGCGGTTCCTGCTGACTTTGAGACCCAGAGGGTTTTCTGCCCTCTTTCCAGGCCAAAGCCTTGGGTTACAATGCTTTCCTGGCCTAAAATGCAAAAAGATCGGCCCCTGAATACATGTGGGGTTCTTGTAAGGTCAGCGAATCTTTCAAAGGGATGTTTCGAAAGCTTCTGGGCAAAGATAATTGTGTCAAGAGGGAAACAGCTGTTTCTGTGTTTGCCGAGGAGAACAGAACCAAACAAACAGCAGAGACGAGACTCATCTCATTAGAACTGGATTACGGTAGGGTTTGGCTCACCACCCCACAGCTTGATCTGTTCCCTTCCATATCCAGCCCTCCCCCCCTTCCTTCCTTCCTTTATTCATTCCTTCCATCTGTCCATCCTTTCTTTTCCTCCCATTCCTCTCTCTCTCTCTCTCTCTTTCTTTCCAGGGATTGAGCCCACAGGCGCTTAACCACTGAGCCTCATCCCTAGCCCTTCTTTTATGTTTTATCTAGAAACAGAGTCTCGGAGACTGGCCTGAGAAATGCAGATCAAAACTACTCCAAGATTTCATCTCACTCCAGTCAGAATGGCAGCTATTAAGAACACAAACAACAATAAATGATGTGGGAAAAAAGGTACACTCATACATTGCTGATGGGATTGCAAATTGGTGCAGCCAATATGGAAAGCAGTATGGAGATTCCTTGGAAAGCTGGGAGTGGAACCACCATTTGACCCAGCTATTCCCCTTCTCGGACTATACCCCAAAGACCTAAAAACAGCATACCACAGGGACATAGCCACATCAATGTTTATAGCAGCACAATTCACAGTAGCTAACCTGTGGAGCCAACCTAGATGTCCTTCAGTGGATGAATGGATTAAAAAATGTGGTCTATATACACAATGGAATATAACTCAGCACTAAAAGAGAATAAAATCATGGCATTTGCAGGTAAATGGATGGAATTGGAGAAGATAATTCTAATTAGCCAATCTCAAAAAAACTATTCCCTATTTTTTTATGCCACTGTCATAACTCTGCCTTTAAAATCCTCCTTGTTATGACTGTTGACACCTTTAGTTTTAAATTACTCAGTTTAACTGAGTAATTCTATCCAACCCAAAGATGAACAGCTTTCTCTCAGGGTTAAAAGGCTGTGGCAGAAAAAAAAAAAAAAAAACTTCAAGTAAAATTCAAAGAACTAAGGTTCTCAATCAGATAGCCACTCAGTGATCTTGAGGTAAATCCCTCAGACTGCCTCAGTTTGTTCAGCTCTAAAATGAATGTACAATAAGCCGTGTGCAGTGGTGCACACCTGTTCTCCCAGCAGCTCAGGAGGCTGAGGCAGGAGGATCCAAAGCTAAACTGTGGACTCAACCTAGATGCCCTTCTGTGGATGAATGGGTTAAAAAAAATGTGGCATATATACACAATGGATGTTCATGTAAATTCTTACATGTAAATTCAGATACATACCAGCATTAAAAGAGAACAAAATCATGGCATTTGCAGGTAAATGGATGGCGTTGGAGGAGATAACATGTTAAGTGAAGTTAGCCAATCCCTCCCCCCAAAAACAAGTGCCAAATGTTTTCTCTGATATAAGGAGGCTTCCTCACAGTGGGGTAGGGAGGGGGAGCATGGGAGGAATAGATGAACTCTAGATAGGGCAGAAGGGTGGAGGGGAAAGGGAAGGGGCAGAGGATTAGCAAGGATGGTGGAATGTGATGGACATCATTATCCAAAGTACATGTATGAAGACACGAATTGGTGTCAACCTACTATATAGAGATATGAAAAATTGTGCTGTGTATGTGTAATAAGAATTGTAATGCATTCTGCTGTCATTTATTTAAAAAAAACATTAAAAAAAATAACTTGCCATCCTCCTGCCTTAGCCTCCAGAGCCCCTGGGATCGCAGGCCTGTGACCCTGGGCCCAGCTCTTCTCATTCCCTGATTCTTCCTCCCACTGTATTTCCTTCATTTGTTTCTCAGGAATACTTTTCTCTCCACTCCACATAGCATTTGTCCATCCCCATACTTTTACCGCCATGTCCGTCCTTCCGTCCACCCTTCTGCATCTCGTTAGCTCTGTTTTGTTTTGTCTTTGGCCAAGAGAAGGGTAAACGAAGGATGTGGCAAATTCTTACATCCGCTCTCCTTATTGGTGGGAACAACCATTTCTTCATTTTGTGTGGTGAGAATCTCACAGAACTCATTCAAGACGGTATTAATCCCTTGCTGTTTACACGTAAGCTCCTTCAGCCAGCTTTCCAAATGTTTAAACCCGTGGTCAGAAGCTGCGGTTTACCTCCCAACTCTGTTTTGGGAAAAACCAAGCTGAGCCAGCAGGGCTCTTTGTCTCTCTCCTGAGTCCAGGGCTGCTGGTTTTCTTCCTTGACTCAGTTTTACATTGTTCTCCAGTGTTCTAGAATGTGGCAGAGTCATAAAATAACTCGCTCAAAAAAAAAAAAAAAAACTCTTAAATTCCCATCAATCAGCAAAAAAAAAATGTAGGGAAGGTTATTTTAAAGGTGCTGGCATTTATACTTGCTTTAAAATATCCCCCAAAGCTGATCAGAGGTATTTTTATTGATTCCTTTCACAAATATTTGTCAGGCACATACTAAGAAGCAGTGAAAGGTGAGAGGGGATCCGACAGACGCGTACCGCAGCTCCTGCGTGGAAAAGCAGACCGGGGTCAATGGCACAGCTGTTTGGATTTCTCCATATTGTGGTTGGAACAACTGTGCTAAGGAACTTTAGGAACTTTTACCTTGTGTGATCCATAAGACGGTGAAAGTCACTCATTAAAAAGAGTTAGGCGTGTTTTCGTTTATTTAAAAAGACCTAAATGAAGTTTAACCTGAAATTTCAATTTATGTCCTTTTGAAATTCCCATATTTGAGCCTCTCCTGTTACCTAGGTCTATAGTTTGGGCTGCAGATGCAATAGGTGAAAAATGCAAGTGTCTACGGCTAAGTCAGATGTTGGACGAGTCATCACATACGTGCATATTGTGAAAAATAAAGCTCAGTGCTTTTTAGAAGAAGGAGCTTTGAGAGCACCACCAGGCACCTAATTGAGGTTTTTATGATATAGAGCAGACTGCAGACGGCCTGGGAGCTGGACTTAGGCAGGAGGCATTTGATGGTACTGCTTGCTGGGTTTATGACCTTGAGAAAGTAACTTTACTGCTTTAAGCTCCATCTGTGAAATGGGCACCCCATAGATGCTTCCTATTGCAATGACTTATTCCAAGGAAGACATAAGCACTCAGACATAGAATAAATACTTTTTAATAGTATCCTTTACTGTTAGTTCTAATAAAGCAAGCAGAATTAAGGGAACTAGAAGTGAGAAAATTGAAATCATCTGGAAATATCTACATTCACAAGATCCCAGAGCTGCATAATGCTAAGACAAGACCATAATTTTAAGGGACCCATGAATATGGGGTGCCATCTAGCCTCACCGTTTTTTCAATGCCAAGCTCGAATTGCCTCTGGATCCTGAAGCAAGAGGTGCTTCTTGGGCCTGATTATATGTCTACCTGAGGTTGCGTGCACCTGCCCTGCGGAAAGGGTTCTGTTATTACTGGCTCCTTATCCATCTTGGTCTCTGGTATGCCTCTGAATGCAAGCTTTGCCTGAGCCATGCCTTTCTTATTCTCCTTCCCAAAGTTAGAAGCAAAATAATCACTTACCAAGAGCCTTGAGATCTTCGGTACAGAACAAAGTAGACAGCCCGAGACCTGAATGCCCTATTGATTGACTAAGCACACAACGCAGAGGTGGCCGGCCAGCTGCTGCACATGGCCTTCCTGGGGTCACATCTAGGAGACCCTCCCTGCTTCTCAACCCCGAGAAAAGGGGTTTGCAAAATATTAGCAAATATAAGGCAACTTCTTGGCCAATCAATTTCTCCCTGACCCTATGTCAGAGCTCTTAGAAAAGATGGGCAAAGGAATATATAAGTGCAGGATTCTCTTAGAGCCATTGAAGTATTCTTGTATTCACTTATGGTTTTCGAATAAAGACAATAGCAATATTAGTGGCCAATAAATTTTAAAGCATCTACAGCGTGCCAAAGACCATGCCAGGAGGTGTCCTGGTATGTCCTTTTGCTTTATTATTATAACAACCTGTGGGAAAAGGAACTATCTATTGTCATCTGCCTTTCAGTGATGAGAAGGCTGAAGTTCAGAGAGACGGTCCCTGCCTAAGGCCACACAGCTCTGAAGTGGCTCATGGAAGGTTCTGGCCAGGGTCTTCCTAAGGCAGGGTCTGCGTAGACAACAGGTACTGAGATGATTCCCAAAGATGGTAGAGTCCATCATCAATTCATTCAGCAACGGCTAATGATCCACTCTGCGACAGCCCTTGATGGATGTTGAGCCAGTAACAATGGAACCCCGTCCTCAGGGTTGGCAGAACGTCACCTCCGGATGGAGCATGGAGAAGCAGGCTGAGTGCTATCCGCGTGCAGCCTGTATTTTAGCAGGAGGAGACAGAAAACAGACAACAGGGATAAAGGCTAAGGAGAAAAGCTAAGTAGGAGCGGTATGATTTTAAATCAGGGGCTCTGTGAAGCCTCACGGATAAGGTGACAATTCACATATTTGCAGCCTAACTCGGATCATCCAGGGCCTCCTGCTGAGAAAACACTCCATTGCAAGTTCTTTTCCTTCCCCCTTAGAGAATCCCAGGCAGTCTCCTTCCCCAGGGTCTCTGAGCAAACCGTTTGTACCTTGACCCTAAACACAGGAAGACATTTGCCGACGTGCTGTGATCAGTGTCTTCTGTATAAGGGTGCTGCACTCTCAGAAGTCCCTGGGTATGGAGATAGACAAGGGTTCTGCACTTGGAGATTCTCTTCAGACCCCTGTTGATTAAGAGCTGATTTTACATGGTTTTGGACATGGACACTGTTTTTCCGTTCAGAATGGGTTTGCAGATACGGGCGGGGGGCAGGGGGGTAGAAGTGGGCTGCAAGATGAGTTGTGTATTTGCATTCATGCAATCCTCAAAGCCACCAGTAGAAAAAAAACAAAAGTCCTGGTCATGTTGCCTGTGGCTTTCCAACACACCCAAAGGGAAACCCCCCATAAAATGGACCATTTGAAACTGTCCCTGACTCTTAGAATTCAATCAAAAAACTTAATCCAACACAGAACATGGCAAGAACAGGTCTTCTCCACAGGCACAGGCACCCACATAGACATGCCTGTGTGCATAGATACGTATTGGTTTGGGGCCTTTCCCCATCTGTAAAGGGAAGAATTTCCAAGACCAGCGGGACAACTTAGATAAGGCAGACACTATGAAAGTAAAATTTGCTACTCAAGAAAACACTGGAGTAGGGGGGGAGCCTCAAGTAGACTTTTCTACCATCTTTGAAGAAAATGGTCAAATGAGCAGCTTAGACAAGATAGCAGGAGTTACACATGGCTTTTAAAAATCAAACTATTTTAAAGTGACTGATGTGACTTGAGCCCCAGCCCCTAGCCTACAATAAGTGTATTACCTCCAAATGATTTTATCTCTTTGCAGCGTCAGTGGGATCTTGGAGTCCTCTGAAAGTCATCTGCTTTTAGTCATTGTCCTTGAAAGCAATACCTCTACAGTGCCTTATAAAGTGTCCATACTTCAGGTTTAACAGACTCCAAGAGGTCTTCACACCAGTTATTCTTAATTAGCAAGACTTGCCTGTCCTGGATTTTGCTATAGCTGCGTGGAAATGGCCTACAAATGACCAAATGACTGGTCACAGGTTTTTTTGTGTGTGTATGTTGGGGGGCTACCAGGGATTGAACTCAGGAGCACTCGACCACTGAACCCCATCCCCAGCCCTATTCTGTATTTTATTTAGAGTCAGGGTCTCACTGAGTTGCTTAGCACCTCGCTTTTGCTGAGGCTGGCTCTGAACTGATCCTCCTGCCTCAGCCTCCAAGAGCTGCTGGGATGACAGGCGTGCACCACCACACCTAGCTGGTCACAGATTCTTACTGTCAACATCCCACTTTCCTTCAGTACCAGATTTCAAACCATCTTGTCCTTTTACTTGCCTAGCTGAGAAGGCAAGTAGAATTAATTTCTGTTGCAGTATCTCCAGCTGTTTTTGAATCATTAATTCTGCTTTCACCACATTTCCTATTCATTATGGAATAAAAAGGAACATGCCTGGGGGCGTTTCTCATTTTCCCAGTCTTCTTAACTTTTTTTTTTTTTTGGAACAAGCCCCTTCTGTACTTTCTAAAACTAAATGTATTCTCTGAGTTAATTTGTGTCTGTGAGTGATAGGCCTAAAATCAAGACACTTCCCAGTTTAGACCGGTTTCATTTATTTAGCCCTCAGATTTTCAGGCCTGTTCAAAGCAGGCCGGTCATACCAAGGCACGGAGGATCAGAAGGCAGAGTAACTCTGCACTTGGACTGAGAAACTGATTTCCTCCCTAAGTTTCATATAGCATTACATCACCCACCCAGGGATAATTAAACTTGTTACAGAAAAGCCTGGCTTTTTTGCTCGTGAAATGAGGAGAAACATGTGAGGCAGTTAGAATTAATAGGAAAGTAGTGAATGGAAAGGCAACTTTGTAAACTATAGAGCAGGAGTCAAAAACTTAAGTCTTTTCCAGGGGGTTGGCCAGCAATTGAAAGATGTCACGCAGGCCAGGCAAAAGATATTGGAGACCGTTGTACAAGGTCACACACAGGAGATCAGGGGCTGCTCCACTAGGGTCGCTTCCACCCGAGCAGCAAAATATGACAGGCACACGAGTCTCATGGATCAGCCAGATTTGTGGCTGTCCATGTAGCAACTGGGTAAGTGGCCAGGTACTCACGCCTGTAATCCCAGCAGCTCAGGAAGCCGAGGCAGGAGGATTGCAAGTTCAAGGCCAGTCTCGGCAGCTTTGAAATCTGGTAGCTGACCCAACTACCTAGATTTTCAATTTCTGGGCTAGGATGAGGACCAGGTCATCGGGAGAGCAGATCCATATAACCAGCTGGGAGGGAACTTTCCAGAACACTGGCATTTGTCTTCAAGGGTGGACATGTATTTATCTGATTCTTTTTCTCCTTCTTTGGCTTTAGTATAAGGCTATTGGTAGAACACAACAAAACGGCATCCTGATGTTAGAAATCCATTCCATAGGAGCTGCTCTGGAGGGAAGTCAGCCAAATGCCGGTCCTTGGGTCCCTCCTTTCAGCACCATTCATTCTTATGTTTGATTTCATTTCATGTCACCTTGTTTACGGTGTGCAGCATGTTTGTGTAACTGTAGTCTTTGATTTTTGCACAAGGACGAAACTGCCTGAAAATGAGCTTTTCAGCACGCATCCTGCCCTTAAGCAGCTGAGCAACACACGACCTTACATATGTACG